CCCAGATAACCATAGAGATAGTGAGCAAAATGGAAGTCGTGATTCGAGACGCTAGAGCAGAAATTGACAAAAAAATAGATGAGCTCAGGACCATGATAGAAGCCATGAAGGCCCAGCATAAGAAAGAAATGGAAACAATAAACGCCCAACACAGGAAAGAAATGGAATCCATAAAACAGATTCAAACAGATATGCAGGAGATTAAACAATCCATAGAAAGTGTACGCAACAGAATAAAAGAATGCAAAGATAGACTCTCAGATATAGAAGATAAGATTGCAGTCAGTGACCATGAAAAGAGAGGTCTCTTAAAAACAGTAAGCGATCATGAGAAATCGATCCAACAACTCCTAGATGATGCAAAGAAGAATAACCTAAGACTGATAGGAATACAGGAAGTAGCAGGAGAAAATACAAATGACTTAAAAAAGCTGTTCACAGAATTAATGACAGAAAACTTCCCAAACAGAGGGGAAGAATTTGACATTCAGATAACTGAGGCATATAGGACCCCAATTAGCTACAATCAAAAAAAATGTACACCTAGACATATAATGATCAAGATCCCAGAAACCCAACAGAAGAACAAAATACTACAAGCAGTAAGAGAAAAGAAACAAATCACATACAAAGGAAAGCCCATCAGAATCACAGCAGACTTTTCAACACAAACCCTTGGGGCAAGGAGAGCCTGCAATGAGATATTTCAAGTACTAAAAGAGAACAACCTCCAACCTAGACTGATGTATCCTGCAAAACTCTCTTTCAAAATGGATGGAGAAATAAAACACTTGCACGACAAAGAACACCTGAGAAACTACATGAATACCAAACCAGCACTACAAGCAATTCTAAACAAGATCCTAGAAAAAGACAATGAAGGTAACAACACCACGAGGCCCAACAGAGGAAATCAAATAGGCAAGGCAAGAAATTAAAAGGAGAAGGTGAAAAAGTAAAAAGAGTCAACAAAGGCCAATAACATGTTAATAATAAGTCAGTACATTATCAGTTATAACCAGCAATGTCAATGGCCTCAACTCACCAATCAAGAGAAACAGACTGGCAAAATGGAATAAGAAGCAAAATCCAACAATACGTTGTATATAAGAAACACACCTAGTGAAAAAGAAGCCCAGAGACTGAAAGTGAAAAGATAGAAAACACTTCTCCATATGACAGGAGCCCAGAAAAAAACAGGGGTAGCAATCTTATTTGCAGACAAAGTAAATTTCAAACCAAAACTGATTCTAGTATTATTGATGTAGGACAGTACTGTATCATACCTCTATGAATGTAAAATATCTTGTACCTGCTTTATGATACATAGTAGGGACTGTGCTTTATCAGAGCTACATTTAACATTACTCTAGAATGTTCTCTTTCCAGATGATGATTAAGATGCTAATAAAAAAAATGGTGCCAGGTACCACAACAGCAACAGAACTTTGCTGTTTTCTGGATATTATTCTTTTCTTTGTTTTTCGTTTTGTTTTGTTTTGTTTTTAATGGAATGTGCTGAATGTCTATAATTTTGTTCAGATGACTGCAGAACCTGGAAAAGCTGTTGCTGCTATCGATGCATAACATACTATTATTAGTCTTTTTATATAAATATAAATATATATATGTATACATATAAATTGAATTTTGGGAAACTTTAATGGTGTTGTCAACTTTGGGAAAAGTCATCCCAATTTACTGTGTTGACTTGGCATTGTACAGAAATGGACAGCCATATTGGTCTAGAAATGTTAATTTACTTTTATTTTTTATTTTTTTTCCATATGTACAGGAGTAACACATCATACTTAATATGTAAGGTCATATCTACGTGGGTTTGATTACAGAAACTAATAAAGTATTCTCTAAATAATGAAAAAAAGAATGAGATAAGACTATAAGAGCAAGAAGCAATTTAAATATGTTCAGGGACCATTTTCATCTCCAGAATTAAGGATTATTTTAATGTTACATTCACTGCCTTTTCTCTTTTACTTTCCTTTTTAGTTTTAGTTTAGGATTCCCTATTTTTAATGTTCATACAGAGATTTCTTTAACTGAAATACCAAATAGTTTCTTTGGTGTGAAAAACTATAATAGTACACAGAATCCTAATGAGACAATTAATAATGTGAAATAGGAAGTAAGGGCTAAAGGTGTAGGGAAAGTGGGAAGGGTGGGGGGAAGGTAATAATGGAGAGGAAAAACATACGAGAAACTGAAAAAACGGAAATAAAGTGTTTGTAAATGGGGAGGGGAGGAGGGGGTGAAGGGAGGGCAGGGACAAGGGGAAAAATGAGAATCAAGACCTATTATGTAAAGGTACAGAATCCCAATGATGAATTTAACTGTATTGTATACCTAGATTGTACCAATAAACTCAATAAAAAGAAAAAAAAAAGAAAACTTGAAAATGTAAATCTATAGCTAAGGGTAGAGCACAAAGGAAGGTGGGACAAAGGGTACAGGCAGTAACAGGTTTAAATATTTTTTAATTATAAAGTTATCAATATGAAACAAATAAATATCAAAAACCTAATTTTTCATCTCCAGGAATCCATAAATTGATAATAAAATTTAAATCAATTGAGTTAATGAAACAGGAATTAGATATGTGTACCTTCCAGAATTCTGGAATGACCAGAATATAATAGGGAAAATCTTAAAGAATTTTAAATTATTTTTTTAAAAAAGAGAGACACTGTAGCTGGGGATAAGGAATAAATAGGAAAAACTTACTATAATTATAAAGACACTAGCTGGGCATGGTGGTACATGCCTGTAATCCCAGCATTCAGGCTGCAGGGGCAGGAGGATCACTGCAAGTTCAAGGCCAGCCGGGGCTACACAGTGAGATACTTTCTCAACCCCTCCCCCAAAATTCTGTTTTCATTCGGTTATATTGCTTTAATAAAAAAATATGTGAAAGCTAAACACATTATTTATTCTATAAACCAAAGTATTTTAAGTTAATCAGCCTACATCAAGCCTTTCTGTCTTCCACTGTGTTATTATCCCATGCTTTCCTTGTCTCTTTCTTTCTTAGTTTATTCCCAATTTTTATTATTTCATTCTCTTCTGGCCTTCCTTTCTATGTGGAGCCATTAAAAGCCTCCCCTACTGTATAGCAAACAAACAAACAAACAAACAAAAATTCCTGAATCTGGCTTCTAGTTAGTCTCAGTCCATTTAGGCTGCTACACCAAATTGTTACATAAATGGGATAGCTTAGAAACCACAGAAATTTGTCTCCCCAGATTCTGGAGACTGGAAAGTACAAGATAAAAGGCTCGGAAAGGTTCAGTTTCTTATGAAGGCAAGCTCTCTAACTTAACAGTCAGCAAGAAGGGGTCAACAAGCTCCTTCGGGCCTCTTTTATAAAGGTCCAAATACCATTCACAAGGACTCCAGCCTCACGACCTAATCCCTCCCAAAAGGATCTACCTCTTAATACCACCTTTGGAGTCAGGTTTCAACATATGAATTTTGGAGAGACACAAACAATCAGACCATAGCAAACACCGATGTAATGTTTTGATTCTTCATGCCTCTTAATATTTTATCCAAGCCTTTCTTTTTATACCACCTTTCTTTTTAGGCTTTTTCTCCAAGGTTGGCATGGAAATAGGGGAATAGAAATACCTACAGAACCTGCGTTCCAAATAACATTTGGAAAATGCTGGCATGATATGTTCCAATTACAAAAACATCACTGCTTTGTTCAAGAATATTTCATCTCGTTTTTTGGCACTGAAGAAAAAAAATCCAAAAAAACAACTAAAAATGACCAAATGGTTAACATAATCACTGTAATATTTTTAGTCATGTTTTATTGTCTTTCCTTTATAATATTAATTTGCAAGATTAGTAACAGAACACCAACCTGAAACATTCTAAAGATACGGACTTGGAAGCTCAAAATGATGGCATGCTTGTCTCCGTACAGCTGTCTGTGGAGCTCCTTGCAACACCCAAGGGGCAATGTCTGCTTGGGTTTGGGGGGGTGGTACCTCCCAATTCCAAGGAGCCAAAATAGCTTGAAGACGGGTGTTTTGCCAACTCACACAGAGACCGGCCTTACAGGGAAAACAAGGAAGCTCCTGAGGGGACAATCAGACAAAAGTTAATTATTCAGTCAAACTGTCACCATGCCTTGCTTGCCTGCTTTGCTACCTAAAACAAACATCTGCACTCAGCAGAACTCTATGCCTTTGCTGTTCATCAATAAATCTGGGGGTCTGAATCAGTTCAGGGCTTCACTTCATTCCAGTGAAGTCCCCTGGCCCCTGGAGACAAAGATATTCTCTGCTCTTTCGTCTTTACTCATCTCTCTAACAGGTTTTGCTGGCCAGAACTTGACAGCTAGACAACAGCAAAATCTCAACATTTCCCACAGAAAACAGTAAACATCTTATAAAAGAAGAGAAAAAATGAAATAAAACTACAAGAAAAACCAATGAATGAACTACAATCAAATTTTGAAATTCACCAGTAGGTACTATCCTGGTTTTCTTTAAAATATAATCAATTTTGTCTTTTTTTAAAGTGTATTGATTTGCTGCTTTGGATAACTCATGTCTATTTGCAAGAAAGAGGCCAAATTTTTGGTAAATAATCAAATCAAACCTACAAATAGCTTTAGTTTTGAGCTTCAAAGTAACTGGTACAAGGAAAAAACTCATTTATGAAGCCATATTATGGAAAAACTAGCTGATTTTATTGTCAATGCCAAACAAGACTTTAAATCAATTAAAGTTTATTTATTTAGGCATAAAATTACTTTCATATTTGTCTACAACCATAGTAAATACATTTCTTGGCACAAAGGTAGCCTTTTTTTGCAATTTAAAATATCCCCAACTTAAAGATTACATATATAAAACTCCCATTATTATTTATGTAATAGTGGATGAGATAATCAAATTAAAATAGTTGTACTACTCAGAATAAAATAAAATGGAAATAATTTACTCATAAAATTCATATTTAAATCATCTTTATTTACAAAATACTATCCTGAGAATTATAATTCCATTAAGCTTCAATTTGAGCAAAAGTATAATCACTTAAGTAACAGCAGTTACTTAAACTGAAAATGATAGATAAAATTACTTTTGAAGACAGATCAAAAATATTTTCAGGTTTCTTGTTGTGGCTCTGGATGTTCAGCAGCAGGCTCATTTGAAGGTGGAATCGACCCTGAAGGGAACTCACTTCTACTTTCAGAATGTGGGGGTGGGGGGAAAAATCCAGCTCTTGGGGGAAGATAATGAGGAAAACCCCGTGGTGGATAGACATTTCTCACTGTTCAAAGAGATTGGTAAAAGACTTTTTAACTTTAAGAATGTATATTGCAGTCTTATTAGAATCATTAGCTTATAAATCCAATACCTATATATAGATTAAAAAATTGACACCAGAATAATTTAACTAAAAGATAAAGTTTTACATTAAGGAAAATGTACTTTCTTCAACTCTATGTGATTAATGGGAATATGATTTTAAACACAATTTTTGTCCTAACACTTTAAAAAAGTGGAATTAATTCACAACATACAAACCCCAATTTAAAAAACATTTTCATGTAATATCATTTCCACCATTTAACAGATTAGTGATTCTGACTTCATATCATACTAAAACATTTCTAGTGATACCAAGATCATAAAATTCCTCAAATTTTAAAAATAGAGGGAAACAGAGAACATAATAGAAAGAATGTACTTTTGTCTACTGTTTGGTAATCATGCATTTACTCTGCAGAAACCTACAGTTCTAAATGGTAGAGTATGGCTACAAAAGCAATGTTATTTTGGGGCCGGGGATTTAGCTTGGTGGTTCTGCCACCTGCCTTGCAAGCACAAGAGCCCAAGTTCAATCCCCAGTACCAAAAAAAAAAAAAGGCAACGTTATTAATATTATTTCTTTTTTCCAAGACTATTACAGAAAATAAATACATCTTAGGTTTTGAACATATAGGACTATATGGGAGCTAATTTTGAAAAAGACTCAAAAATACATTAGCCAATAATTTTTTTTTTTTTTTTTTAGACAAGGTCTCACTATGTAATTCAGACTGGCCTTGAACTCATTCTGTAGCCTCTGCTGGCCATCAACTGCTGCAGTCCACCTGCCCCACACTCCCAAAGTGCTCAGATTATAAGCATGTGCCACCAGGCCCAGCTAGCCAGTAATTTTAATCCAAAATATAAATTATAATTAACTAATTGTCAACAATAACAAGTTTCTATTCAATAATCTACAAGCCAGACCATGGTGGCACATGTCTGTAATCCTAGCTACTCAGGAGGCTGAAGCAAAAAGATCACAAATTTGAGGCCAGCCTGGACAAACTTAATGAGACCCTGACTCAAAATAAAAATGGGTGGGGAATGGAGCTCGGTGGTAGAGAGCTAGTATAAAGTCCTGGGTTCAATCCCTAGGACTGGAAAATAGAAAGAGAGACACAAATAATTTTAGTCTTAACATAAGACTACTGCAAAAAGTCAGTAATTTTTCCATACTATTACAATACAGAAATAGTTCCACATTATTAAGGTAAATCAAGTCCATAGTCTAACTATAGTCTCACTGCAGTCTGATGGTTGACTGCCTTCTCAGTTTGGAAAAGTTGCCTTCTCAAGAATGTCAGAAAATTAGTCTTCTATTATATTACTATATGAATCGACAGTAAAATTAGTATCTTTGATTTACTGTATCAAACACAAATTACATTTTTAAAAAATAAGGCCTACTTGGGAATGGAGGAGGTGGGCCAGAGAAATTCCTTGGTGGAAAATAATCTCGAGGAGCTCTGTACATGTTTCCTGGAGGAGGTGGAGGAAAAGGAGGTCCTCTCCTCAGGACCTGGCTCCTCGGATACATCAGAAACGGCTGACCGCCAACAGGAGGAAGAGGTGGAGGAACAAAGCCAGGGCCAGTTGCTTTGCTTTCAGCAGGGAGAGAAGAATCAGGCACATTTGAATTCTGTAACAAATCAACATATGGTTGTCACTACAACAACCACAAAACTTACAATTTTCCTAAATATTTAGGCTTAGACAAAAGCACACACAGAACTAGGCAGAAAGCAGCCCCCGTGACAGTCTCAGTCAACAGAGCAAGATTCAGTCTTCCACATTAACATATCAATTGGGTTTATTAACTCAACAGAAAACAACTTTAACCAACAAAGCAATAATCTGGCTAAAGCTAAGATACAAATATAGTTCAAGAATATCAAAATACACACTTTTTAAAAACTTTTTCTGAGACAGGGTGTAGCTAAGTCACTAGTTATATGTGTTGTACTTGAACTTTCAATCCTCTCGTCTCAGTCTCCTAAAGTGCTGGGATCACAGGTATATGCCACCACACCCAGCAAAACACATGCTCTCCTATCAAGCACATAAAAAGAAATGGCAAGATGCTTATATTTACATTTTCAATGATAAAACCAATACTATAATGAATTTAGTAAACAGATAAACAGAACGCAGCTCAGTGGTACCATGCTTACCTCACACATGTGAGGGTTCAATTCTCAGTACTATAAAAACAAAACAAAAAAACCTTTTTTTCCCCTCAAATACAAATTAAAAGTCCAACATCTGTTCTACTAATAAACTAATTTAAACCCCTAGCCTGCAAGTTGTACTTTATTTCCCTGATTTAAATATATAGAAAAAACAAAAAACAGCTGTAATATAAGTAGGAACTATATTTTATCAAAAGATTTATATCACCAAATAGGTTATTAGCTATATTTCTATTCTATGAAACCAAGTAGTGAGAAGGTTCCTTACTACATGGATAAAATTCTATATTCTATACTTACACCAGGATCATCTTTGGTATTTCTACTGGATTCCATTTCTGAAGACACCAGTCCATCTAGACATAAAAGTTAAACCAGGAAAAATATATGACTTATCACTTCATTTTTAGAATATTTCCAGATCATAGCGGACACTGATATTTCCCAATCCCCTTGTTGGCAGACACTAGCTTAACGCCAGCAGCATTTTATATTAGGCTAGGGCCACAAAAACAGTTTGAGGCCACAGAAATTCTCAAGGATCAAAAGTTCCGCAGCAGTGTGTGGTGAAGATTTCTCCAGCTGGTTCCTAGGAAACCCTAATGCAGCATGTTGGGGCAACATCTGGGAGGCAACACTTCCTCCTTCCTTCCTTTCTTCCTCCCTTTTTCTTCTTTCCTTTCTTGTTACTCCACTAAGTAATACAGATTAGCCATTTGAATTTAGCCTCTGTTTCTAAATAAATGTTCCTGGACTATATCATGAAGAACAGCTCTGCCTCTGAAAGCATAGATACAATTTCTCTCTGACCACAACCACTACCTATTCTCTCTTACATTCTCTTTTAGTCACTCTTCCTACATCTGTCCTTGGATATCACTGAGGCTTCCAGTCCTCTAGTCTAACTCAGTTTCCTCCTTTCTTCCCATCTTTCCCTACAATCCCAAAGTCACTTCAACCAGCTATTAAAATCTTTGCCTGCTTGAGCAACTTTCACTTGTGCCTCTCCACATAATAAGCTTAGATTAATCTAGATCTGTTCTTCTACTTTGCCTATCCGTATCTAAGCCACATAGTAGTCACAGGGAGCAAAAAAGGCTCGTGCAGCCTGGTACCAACTCCAATGCCTCCCCCTGACTTCAGCTGCACATAGCCTGGCCTTCCTTCTGGGTTCTAAGCCAGTTTCTTCTCGGGAATCTGAACTTCCATTCTCCTCAAACCTATTGTCCTAGTCACATACTCCTTTAAATTTATGATCAAACAAAAACATTCTGGGCTGGGGATTTAGCTCAGTGGTGCCATGCCTGCCTCGCAAGCGCAAGGTCCAGAGTTCTATCCCCAGTACCAAATAAAACAAACAAACAAACAAATAAACATTTTGCAACTATACTCCTCTGACTTTTCCCCTACTATCAGGATTCTTCCAGACAGCCGACAGAGCCCGTGCTCAGAACCCCTCCTGGGGCTTCCAGGGACCTTCCCCTCTCTACTGGCTCTCTCCTCTCTGCTACATCCAAGCCTTTCCTTATTTACAACTGAGAGATAAGAGGATTCCTTTATAGCTACATCTCTCCTTGACAATCTACAGCTACTGAATATACATTGTTCACAATTCCTCCAGTTCTGATCTCATGTTAATCTATTTGCAACATCTACTGTGTTCCACTGAAATTTTTTCCCACAAACTAAGAAAGTCTCTTTGTGTGCTAAATTAAAAGATATCATTAATCCTTATTTTACATTTCAGTAGTCACCCCTTATGTATGGTCTCACTTTCTGAGGTTTTAGTTACTTGCTGTCAACTATTATAAAAAATATGAAGTGAAAAATTCCAAAAAAACAATTGAGAAGTCTTCGACCCCGCACCTTTTTGAATAGCATGAAGAAATGTCACACTGTGAGACATGAGTCATTCCTTTGTCCAGTGCATTCACTCTACTGGTGCATTAGCCTCTGAGTGGCCATGTATCTCAGTTATCAGCTAGACCACTGACTGTCACAGTATCACAGTGCTTGTGTTCATGAAGTAACCATTATTTTACTTAATAATGGTCCCAACATGCAAGGGTAGTGATGCAAAGGAGGCCCTAGGTCACAAAACATGGAAGGACACATTAACTCTGTGCTATGTGACAATGCCGCCAGGGACATAGGAAAATGTGAGCATATACAGGGTTCACTGGCAGGTCTTGGAGCACATTCCCCAGGAATAAATGGGAGATATTTTATCTTCCACTACAGCAGACCACACCCTCCCTCTTGAAATGCTCTCAGCCTTCTATTTCCACAACAAGACCATTCTTTCCCTGTAGCCCTCCTTTCTAGCTGCTGCTTTTCAGTAACTTTGGTGAATGCCACTACCTCTGACCATCTTAATTTAAGTGATAGTATTTCTGAAGAGCCACTTTGAGAGTGAGTGCTTCTTATTCTTTCCTTGAAAAATTCTGTCTACTCCTATAGTTTTAATTAGATATATTTAACTAGATACTGACTTCTGTATCTGTAATTCAGATCCAGATATTTTTCTGACGACTTCTAAGCTTGACCCACCTCTTTGAGAATAGTCATAAAGCTGTATCATAAGTGCTGCTAATTTTATTCAAAGTATAACTTACAAGTTTTCTTCTGCAAATTTTTCTTCTGAAACTTGCTACTTGTCTCAGGAACAATAAATAGCACCTCTCTCTATTCACTCAAGTACCACAGCCAGGAATTGGGTGTCAGCCAAGGCTCCTTCTCCTGTACCTCCCACATGGCTTCAGTCCTAAATCCTATTTCTTCCGTGTCTATTCACATTGATCTAGTTCCTCCACTAAGTCATCCCATCACTCATCTCGATTCCTGTCATAGTCTCCTACAAAGTTACCCTGCCTCCAATCTTACTGCTTCCTATGCTCCATAATGCAACCACAGAAACTTCTCTATAAAATGCAGATCTTATATTATTGTCTTGCTTAAAATCCATTAGCCAGAGAATTCTGAACAGTTTGCAAGGTCTTGCAAAAATCTAAACCATGCTTAACTCAGGGATCACTTGCTTAAATATTTCCTGGCATACTCCATGGCACACACATAATTTACTATGCACTCTTAACTCTAAATCTTTAAATATGCTACTCTTTCAACCTAGAACAGTGGTGGTAACCTAATAGCATGCATGTTACGTGTTTTAAGACAAAAGATGTTAATGCATGAGTTGTTTTTCTAAAGTAAAACCTCAGTATTCAGGTTTAATTGCAGTGTTGGCACTTTGTAATAAATGAGTGGGTTCTAGGGTACAGTTTGGCATTCGGTTCCTAAAAGTTTGCCACCGCCACCACTGATCTAGAGCATTGCCATCATCCTGTCCGTCCAGCTAATTATTTCTCAGTGTACATGACACAGCTTTCAAGAAGCTTTTCTTGACTCTCTCACACTTAACACAGCTCCACTTCATGTGAGTTAGTGCCCTATATGTTCCACAATATTTTCTACTCACAACTACTGTCAACTATATAGTGTAACTTCCCATACTTCTTTATTACACCTTGACGGATAAAGAATGCCAGGTACCCATTCATCACTGACACAACAGCAACTACCATAATGCTTGTCTTACAGTGAACATCCAATAGATACAGACATGGACCACATAATGCAGTTCAGTTTAGTGACATACTACATGTATGGTCCTGTGAGACTGTACTACCTAGTGACACTGTAGTACAGTGAGGGTGAACCTGATACAGTCTGAGCGCCCAAACTGCAACCTAAAACATACTTATTTATCAGAGAGAGCTAACACTGCAATTAAAGCTGAATGCTGAAGTTTTAATTTAGAAAAAAACAACTCATACATTAATGTCTTTTGCTTTAAAAACACAGTAACAGAGATTTCAATGACACAAACAGCTTTTTATTGAAAGGCAAAAGTTTGCACTTGGTGTGCTTTTGCACCTTAATGTGATCTTTGCTGTTGTCTGCAAGCTGATAATTTGTTAAACACAGCTGCAGAGACTTGGCTCAAGTGCCAAGAGAGAGGGCAGGCTCCAAGGAGGATGCATCCCATAAATTCACCACCCCCATTGTAGCATCTTAGTTTGCCTTAATTACATGATCTGAAGTTCACAGAACAATAAAATCACCTAATACATTTCTTTTTTTAAGTCTTCAAAAAGAGTTGGCATTTAATGTAAAACAAAAAGGTCAAAAGTACACACATCCCCTTTCAGTTTTGCACTAGTCAATCTTCTAACAAGAACATCCACTGAAAAGTTAAAACAGGGGGCTAACATTAGATGTGTGGTGCTATGGGACTCCTAAAGACTGGAGGGTGCAGGAGGCAACAGAATAATCAAGGGCTTCACAGAAAAGGCAACTCAAATGTTGCCATTCAGCCTCGGGTTCCTTCTCTCCATTCAGATGGAAACTGTGAATCGGCAAAGTGCAGCTCTGCCAAGCAGTCCTAATGTCACCAGATGATACCAGGTAATGCTGGACGCCATCAGCTGTTGGTCACTGCCACTACCCCTGGTCTCTGTTGGCTGCTGGTCTGTGGAGCTCCTTCAGTGTTAATAGCTCTGTTTCATTCTGTCCATACTACTCAGGGTAAAAATATGAAGTAGATTTATATGACTTCTGGAACCCAACTACCCAAGAAATAAATCACAAGCAGGTTTACAGGAGCACCACAGGGAGTATATTTTGTCAGGGCCTGTGATGCAGGACATGGGAGCTAGTACACAAGAGGGAGCCCTCCAAGACTAAAACCTCAACAAGACACTTCTTACAACATACCCCTGTCATTAAGTGGCACATGACTATGTTCAGTATATCAATGATTCTACTACCCCTTCTTTTCAGTGAAGTGCAGTGATTAAGGCCATAGCTCTAGAGTCAAACAGACACATTCTCAAGTCTTGCCTTTGATACTTATCGAGATCGGAGCATCTTTTGGAGCCTCTGCTTACAAAAGGAGGACAATTAAAGTAATGGCTTCATAGGGTCACCATAATCATTAAATGAGGTAACTCATTTTTACTCTAAAAATGTTTGCTGAACACTCAACATTTTAACCATATCTCTCACATTCACCTTCATGTACTGATATAAACCAATATATTCATATATATGTATATAACTTGATGTACATATAACATAGGAACATATACTAATAAACTAATAGTAACATACATTTATCAGAATTTTTCTACTCACAAAACACTACACAGGGCCAGGAATTTAGCTCAGTGGTTCCGCCACCTGTCTCGCAAGCACAAGGTCCTGAGTTCAATCCCTGGTACCAAAAAAAAAAACCTTCTACACATATGAACTTATTAAAT